CACACACACACACAGGTATGATTGCCACAGATAGCATTTGTATCAAATTTGGCAACTGAAATCAGTCACAAATGCAGAACACGTTTGAGATAGACCTAATGCATGCACATGCACACACTTCTGCATATTGCTGTTGGTTTTATTTACATTTTTAATTTCTTCCACATTCTAAAGTTATTTTATTTTTTTTTTTTTTACACTTGGTTCATTAAAATCAATAATATGCAACTACAATCTGACTCTAAGTCTTGTCCTTTAGGTGTGTCTTATGTGGCATTTTTCTGTCAGATTTCTGTGGCATTTTTTGAAAACAGACATTTCAAACTGCATCAAAAACTACAAAACATTATACCATTTGAAAGAATATTTATTTTTAATGTCTTTTCTAATGTTTATATATACATAAATTCACAAAATGTATCACAAAAGTTGTGATAGAAGCAGTTGGCCACATCCAGTAAAATTAATGGCTCTCTATGGCCCTCTGCTGGTCAAAACAATTTCTTTCCTAAACTGTAATCCTTTTAGGTTTATTTCTAACCAGCAGATGGCAGAATTCTACACCTAACACCTAGATCAATATCCAGAAGCAACTTAAATTAAATCCTTTAAGTGATTTTTTCATAAAAAATTAATTTCACATGCAAGCTAATGGTGTAGTTGAGGAATTTTGTGGTAAATAGGTACAAAAGTACTTCATAGCTCCCAAAACACAGCATTAATGTATAGATGAGAAGTAAACAAAAAAAATGATATATTATTTGTATGATTAAAAATATATAGTATATATATATATATATATATATAATAAAGTATATATTTTTCACAATTACTCTTTCAATGTTTGGGGTCATATTGACCCCAAGGGACTTAAGTGTAAACAGGAAATGAGGGACGATTGAGGGTTAAGAAGGAAGAAAGAAAATAATGCAGGTTGTAGTGACATGAAGGTGAGCAAATGATGATAAAATTAATAGTTTTGGGGGAACTTTTTCTGTAATGCCTGATTCATTTGACAGCTGGATAATTTATACGAATCAATATCCATCTGCAAGACAGACCTGAGTTCCATTGACAAATCAATTAGCTACACAGTGCCGTTCTCTATAGCCTTCATTCATTCAAAGACTAACTGCTGCAGGTCAATGGCTCAGTACAGTTACTTAAGAGAGCACAGCAGTTGGCAACTATCGATCGCTGCTAACTGGCACTTCGGTGAACGGAGTCCACAGGGCACGCACCTCATTGAAGTGAGTGTTGATATACTCTCTTGTGCGAAGATGCAGCTCGGTGCAGCCGATCTCTTCTGCAAATCTCGAGATACCTATGACATTTGACGGCTCCAGGTTCTTTGTGAGGAAATCGCAGCACGCTTTGGCCACCTCTTCCATCTGATAGCGCATTGCGGTCAAGAGGACGTGAAGAACGCACTTCTCGCCCACTGTTATATGGGAGGTGTAGGCAAAGTCAATGAGGCGGCTGATGACCTGAGGACACACGTCTCGCAGGGTGACCTCCGAGGCATGGCATTCCTTGAAGTTACTGGTGAACATGGCTTTGAAGTAAGGACTGCAGGCAGCCAGCACCAGTTTATGCACCTGGGGAATGAAGACACTTGTTCATGACTGGCATAAAAAAAAGCAGGCAGGACACACCTGAAACTAAATCATGAGAGCTGTATGTGCCGTGTTCTCGTAATTACAATCAAATGCCTTAACATGTACAAACATAATTCTGCACTTGTAATGAGGACAATTTATCTTTGTGCACTGTAATTTGCAGTGCCAATAAATGGATAAATGGCATACCTGATAAATGGATAACATTACAATGGATAAATGGATAACAATTTTATACTATTTTGACTACATATATTAAAAATAAAACACTAAAACCTATAAACCTAAATGCTACACATGAATTTAGGCAACATTATAATGTAAAATATGAAGAATGCACAAACATATTTTTGAAGCTCAGACCCTTTTATAGCAATAATTTAATGCTTTTGTGTAATATTTCATTTTATAATAATGTTTGCTTTTGTACTCTGCATAAAAAATATACACTACCGTTCAGAGGTTTATGGTCAGTAAGTTGGTTGAATACTTTTATTTAGCAAGGATGCATTAAATTGATCAACACTTAAAGACATTTACATTATTACAAAATATTTCTATTTCAAATAAATCCTGTTCTTTCGAACTTAAAGACTCCTGAAAAAATGTTTCTTGAACAACAGCATATTATAATGATTTCAGAAGGATCATGTGATACTGAAGACTGGAGTAATGAATGACTGCTGAAAATTCTGTTTTACCGCCACAGGAATAAATTACATTTACAAAATATTAAAATAGTTATTTTAAATCGTAATCATATTATACAACATTACTGCTTTTACTGTATTTTTTAATAAATAAATGCAGCCTTGGTGAGTTTGAAGAGACTTCCTTCAAAAAAACAAACAAAAAAAATCTTACTAGCCTCACACTTACGAACTCTATTGTACTTGATGTTGATGTTGTTTTACATTTTTAATATCTTTTGAGTACACTAATTCACAAATATAAGTAGTTTAATCTGTTCACACTGAACTTAAATGTGTCCATAATCTATCTTTCTACAAATTGAGAAACTTTAAAGAAATAAATATTTGTTGCAAAATATTTCAAAGCTGTCGGTCATGTATGAATAATTATGAGACAGTGCATTCTCACAGGTTAAGGCCAGACAGTCTTATGAATAACTGAGATACTGATGTAGATAAGAACTGTATAGTGCATGAGACTGACTCAAACACAGTCAACCAAAATAGCCCTAAATACCTAAAAATACTGGCTGCCAACATTGTTCTCCATTATGCAGTTGTTAATTGTGAGAACATTATTTCCATTGCACTGTGGTTTCAATAAAAAAAATTTAAAAAGATTTTCTATGGCATTAATCCTTTTAAACATATTTGTCAAACATGCTATTCAAGCTTACTTGGACCTTTGCACTTTTAAGAACGGACTTCCATATCTCTTACCTTAAAATCCACTATCTTGTCTTTGTAAGTCACGTGTAGAACCACGTCACAGAGCAACTCATGATGGCGGAGCTCGTCCATGATCTGCATGGCTCTATAGGGATGACTTTCAATTGTGTAATCCAAGTAACCATGACCCTTCATGGAGGGCACCACGATGGCAGAGAAATCCTCATCTTTGATGGGCCTCTTCTTTCTTGGACATATCATTCTCTGAGACCTCGAATGTCACTGATATACATAGGAAATGGATGGCGACTGCAGCGGAACAATGTCTATATCCATCCACGTGTCATGAAGAAATACAGGCACAACTGATGATCGCTTAGGGATAGAGAGCCATGTTTCTTCTGCCTGGTTAGAAGTCCACCATACCAAATTTCTGTATCAAGCCAAGTTGGCATTGTTGAAATATTACTCCGTTGTTTCTTTTAAATCAGACAAATGCTTTTATTTGTCTTGTACAGATGAGATAAAAAGTCATTTTTACACGCGCATTAAAAAGTTAATTCTTTTTCTTCCAAAAGGTTATTGTCCTCTGAGATGGTTTGTGCTCTTTTCACCCTGTGAAAAACAGAGATACAGCATTGAGAAATGTTTTGTTTATCCCCTCAAGTGCTTTCATTGTTTACCAAATGCATAATTAAATATAGCCAAGATGATCGAGGAAGATATCTTAGATATAAAACTAAACAAACACCACATGGAACAGGCGATATACAAGGAATACAATGGCAGCATTACACAAATCCTGAAGAGGCCATTTCTACTCTAACAATGAGGACAAGAAACTGTCTTTAATTACAGTGTATGTAGACAGTTGCACAGACTTGGCTGAATCATGTTTCACTTCCCTATTCCTTGACTTAAAAAAATAAATAAGAAAACAGCCAAGCCACACCCTTATTCACAGACGCAACATGTGATTTCCTGCATAATACAGACAATACTTCGAAAACCATGCTTGTGGCACAACTGGAATAGACCTTTGTGCACACTAACATGGTTTTCAAGTGAAGGCCAAAGTCTCTGTTGGTGATCAGTCTTGATGTTGTTGTTCATCAGAGGTGATTTTTTTTCACAGGTTATGTAATGTCGTTCATCACTGCTGCTCTTATTGCACAATGCAGAGTGCTGAGGACACACTTATTTGTCTTAAAGCAGATTCCCTTTCATGGGAACTTCGAACTGCGTCCTCTAGGGGTCGCTATGGGGAACGCCTCGTCGTGACCCGTGTCTGAAGCATACATTGAAAAAACACCAACAACACGTTGGCCAGCGACAGCCATGACGTCACTACCGGTGCGACTATAGTATAAATAGGCGCCGGGAGAACACATCTTCCTCTTCTTCATCTTCACTGACTGTTTTGTTTGAAGCGTGCATTTCCGTGGTACGAGCGATCTCCATTCATTATGGCGAGCACTAGCAAAGCATTTAGAAGATGTGTGCATCCGTGTCATCGCTATTTGACACCCGATGACACACACGATCTAGGCGTTGTTTGTTTGGGTGAAGAGCACGCACGAGATGTCCTTCGGGGGGGGCAATCTGCGTGCACTGCAAGCGTTTTTCAATGAAAAAGCTCCGTTCTCGTTTGTCTCTTTTTTCGAGTAAAGACCAGCATACCAGTTATGCCAACATCGAGGCGATGCGCGAAAACGGTTATGAGAGGATGCCCCTGGTAGAAGAAACGCTAGCCAGCTATCTCACTATGGGTGAGACATCTTCTCTCAAAACTCCCTCCTTGCCATCCAAGCTCCTTCAGATTACATCTGCATCGGGAGGAAAGAAAGGGGCTTTCTTCTTGATGCCCCGGTTTTGCCCTCTGAACTTTTTGGTACCTCCGTTGAGACGGTGGTCGAGATGTTCAGGGAGGCGAAGGTGTGCTCAGCGGCCTTCAAATCCTTCATTCCACAAAGGTCCAGGTCTGAGCCCGAACAAGCCAGGGGTCCTGGCCCGTCTCGGTCTGAGGATCAGAGACGAGCACAGAAGGCTAGTGTCGCGGCTCAAGTCTTTGTACACTTTCTAAAATCCACACTGTGGTAAGTTCGCTCGCTAGTACTCTGCGTTCTTTTATAGAATCCTGTATGGTAAGAGCTACGCGCAGCAGCTTCGTGCTCTATCTGAGTGGTTCAAAACCCTGGTTTGGCCTTGGGCACCACTCCACCTATGTATCCTCTGGATACCTACTTTAACAGGGTGTTGCTACTAGGGGTCTGTTGAGACAGTTCCTTCAGCATATACAGAGCGTGGGGGGGGGGGGGGTATGTAGCCTAGGCCTTTGGCCGTAGGGAATAATGTCACTGACAGCCGTCTAACGTCCCAGGGGCAACTCCCATGGCAATATGGTAGAGTTGGTACTTAGTGCTCGCCATGGTTTCTGGCATGCACTCCCCTCAGCATGGTAGCGTGGGTATACCGTTCCCCATAGCGACCACTAGAGGACCTCTAGGTTTCTTGCCATGCTGCGGATGCAATCTTCAGACGAAGAAGTGGATGATGTGTTCTCCCGGCGCCTATTTATACTATAGTCGCACCGGTAGTGGCTGTCGCCAGCCAACGTGTTGTTGGTGTTTTTTCAATGTATGCTTCAGACACGGGTCACGACGAGGCGTTCCCTATAGCAACCCCTAGAGGACGCAGTGTCTCGTTCCCTACTCAAGGAACCATGGTTACATACATAACCTGAGACGTTTTATCACAAGACAACGCTGCCAGCCACTGCTTCTTTTGGAACTAAGAGAGCTCCTTCAGTCGTGGCCTCCATCCCTCATAAAGGCTCATTGTGTCATGCTCCCACATGCCATATTGCTAAGCTGGACTTTAAAGAGAACATTAACATGCTGAGCTGTGCACATTAGCTCCATGGCTCTGGTGGGATTAACCATTAACACACTAAGTGTCAGGTTATTTGAAAAATTATAGAACAGAAAGTGACAAGCTGGAACTTTTGTCCTGGTTAACTACCACTCTGGAAGTTGATGGAGTTAAAGGGTTAGTTCACCCAAAAATGTGAAAACAATGGCCGCCATATTGGAGGGTCGTTCCAAAAAAAAGTGCTCAAAACTGGCCACTTCAAAGGGCCCTTCGGCAATGAACGATTTCAAAGGGTACAACTGATGGACACTTCGGGGCCCCATTATCCTTTGCACAGGGAAGTTGTTTAGCGTCACAGAGTTCGACTTCGCCTATAAATGTATGTATAGTATTTTTCTATACTACTGTATTATTTTTACGAGTTAGATTTGGTACATTATTATGGTCAAAACTACATTGTACTTCAACAAAATACTTTACAGCTACCTTTATCAGTCCATTCAAATGTTTCAAATACATAGACACAATATACATAACAAATACATATTACATTACATTACATATGCAAATATACATTATATTAGGGCTGGGCGGTATGACGGTATATATCGTTACCGCGAAATAAAGTGTCTATCGTTAGAGATTTTGGTATTTTGTGTATTCCGTGGCAAACAATCAGAAAGCACCTCTCCCAGACAGCATGCGATCACAACTTTGGGACGTGCATGATGTTTTTTATAAAGTTATTAAGCGCAATAAGCAATCCGCTGCTCGCGCTGACTTACACACAGTTGAAGTGCGCACAATGAAAGCCCCTCTCAGACAACATGCGATTGTGAAAACAGAAAACAGAAATCTCTTTCGTGTTTCATTGTGCTTGAATGGTCAAATACGCACACAATTATGTCAAAATGCCCATCATGTGGAGTATTCAAGTAAACACAGTCGGTTATGAGTTAAATAAACTAAAACAATTGTTTGTTTCAGTATATTGTAGGGCTGCACGATAAATTGCATGCGATATTTAACGCGCATCTTATCAGTAAAGCCGGTTCTGTAATCAGCGGTAAATCTCCATCACGTGTGTGCTTTCACATTGAGCAGCATTAACTACACAGAGCCGTTGTTCACTGACGAGCTGCGCAAAACCACGTTCATATTCGCGCGATTTTTTGCGCAGCTCGTCAGTGAACAAAGGCTCTGTGTAGTTAATGCTGCTCAATGTGAAAGCAC